AGATCACAAATGTATTTACACCGAATTTGAATATTTTAACTTTTTAGCATTTTAAAGTAAACTAGTTACCAGTCGTGAAGTGAACTTTCGCAGAGGTGAACAACTTGTGTTTCGCGCGCTCATATGACCTTAGCAGTTGCGAGCGCCGTAAAACCTTATACTACTACTACTGTCTGTCTCACTCTTTCCTTCATCCCCCTCTTTTTACTCATTGTGTTAAAAAGAATTTTTTTTATGTATTGGTGGTTTGTGACATCTGGGTAGTTCTTGTACATGTTACTAGTGCCCTAATTTGTTTCTTGTGAATGTTGTCATTATCCCACTGACTGGCTATGAGCAACCCACTCAACTTTTACATTACATCCTTATATTATATTCACCTCCACTGTCATTCTGTCTGTCTCAATTCTCTCTCATAAATTTTCTGTCCCTCCTATGATTTTATTCCTCATTTTCTTTACTGTATTTTTGTCTTTCAAAATTATGATTATCACGCTTGAAATTTTGTTTTCCCTCTCTGTCAGCACTTCAGTTCTTTTTTTATTTTAGGTTTTCTATTCCTGTCTTTCCTAGTCGAAATGTTACTCAAATCAAAATTGAAAATTTGCTATCATTTTCACAGATCACTCAGAACACTCCCTTTCCACTTCCTTCATGAAATGTGAAACACAAGAAGCTTTATGTGAAAATAATCATGAAAAGTGTGAGGTCGATGTCTTATATACTTGTATTCTCACTTGTGTTCAGTTCTTTCGGAGCTCCCCCAGAAGACAACGAGCCAGTGGTTCCTCGCAGCCAGCAAGCTGAGAGACCCTCAGACCAGCTCGGGACCAACACGTCACCACAGAGTGAGTTGCCGCTTATGGACTGGTGTGCTGTAGAGAACTTACACTTTACCTTTAGTGATAAGCAATATGTTGTCTCAGTCATCTTGCCTTCTCGCTGATTGTTCAGAGTGGTACTAAGTCTTGTGTCTTCGGACATGCATGAAAAACATTGGTATGTTTGGTTTGTTTTTTGGGGATTTTTTTTTTCCATTTTAAAAAGGGATTGATGGGGGTTGTCAGGTTGTGTTTGAGCATGTGTTCTGAGTCTTTGTATGGGTAATGCTTGTGGGTTTTTCAAACTCTTCCTTTTTCTGAGTAGAGTTTACTAAAAAGCTTTTGTACTGTGTACTTTTCATAGGTGTTTGTTTAAAACATTTTCGGTGTCTGATAAACAACCAAAGGTCGGAAAAATTTAGACGCAAAGAAAAGCTCCTAGCTCAACAGATACCATTTGAAGTTGATTTGTGTGTAGCTAAAGGGAAACCTTTTTAAACCCAAGAGTCATAGGTCAGATGTCCTTGGTTCACTTCCCTCCTACCTCCCGTCACTGACGCCCCAGAGGTCACTTGATTGCTTTCTTCATCTCTGTCATCTTTCATCATTGTCTTTAAAGCTTTATGAGTCCTCCCTTTTTTTCAATTATTAAGCATTTGTGGTCTCCTTTGCCTACAATGGTCAGGGAATGCCTGTGCACATTTATTTTTTTTCTGACAACATTAGGTAACTAGCTTGTGAGGAACCAAACAGTTTTGAACTTTGACTTGAATGTTGTTGCGTTCTTTGTATTCTGTGTGTGTGTGTGTGTGTGATTGAATAAATCATTAATGTAGATCTTTCGACTCACACCTTGGACTTCTGCCTGTACTCCATTCTGCATGTCCTGCTTGTCGAGACTCTGTTGTATGGTCTAGACTGTTTCAATTACATTTTCTCAATTGTCTGTCATGGTTTTTGTATTTTTATTACTTTTTATTTTGACTGATGGTTCATGCCAGCTGCGTGTTTATCCCCTTTAGAATGTGTGATATTTCATTTTTGTTTTTTAGATCTCCTATCCTTTCTGGGTTTGTGCACAATACAATTTATCGAAAGTGACTGTCACTCTGTGAGGTCATGTGTCACGGCAATCCCAGTACAGTGAATAGTTTACTGTGGGATTTTGAGGTCAGATGACCTTCCTGTGGATTAGTCTTTTTTTTTCTTTCTTTTTTTTGTGGGGGGGGGGGGGGGGGTAATTGTATGGTGTACAATTCCTGTTTGCATGATGTGTTGAGAATCCTTGGCTTGTGTGTTGTGCCTTGTGTGTGTGTGTGTGTGTGTGTGTTGTGCTGACTAACACTGCATGACCCTGAACCCTGCAGGTTCAAGGACGCGTCGCAGGAACCGTCAATGCTCGCTCATCAAAGAACAGCAGGAGCTGAAAATGGTGATGGAACGACATATGCAGCAACAGCAACAACAAATGCTCTTTCAGCAGCAGTCAGACTTGCCCCCGCCACCGGCAGAATGGACCAACAACTCACAGGCATCACCCGTGTCAGACGTGCGTCCCTCACGCCCACGTCACAGTCTCCCCACGGCCTTCACTCAAGCTTCTCCAGTCCCTTCCTCTGCCTCCTCCCCCGACATCAGCGCCTCTTTACCACAGACTTCCTTATCCCCACGGGTGCCTTCTCTCTCGTCAAGTCTCACCTCCGGTGACCTGCAGCAGTCTCAGCCTTTCAGCGTTTCAGAAAATCAGGGGAGCCCTGTACTACGCTCAAGGAATTATCCACAAAGAGATTCAAGAAATGGAGATTATCGAGATACAGAGAGCCAAAACTTTTTCCTTTCTCGAACCGCCAGCGATATATTCACAAGCTCAGGAAAAGACCCAGGACTTTCTTCTCACGTCTCTGGTCTGCCAGAGAAGCCGATAGAATATGCCACATCTGCTCAAACTCTCAACTCCCCCCGCACTCCGACACACCCCGCAGGTCAGCTCTCCCCGCGTAGTCCTGACACTGACCGACCCGCTTACTCCCTGCCTGGACAGATTCCCCCAGAGGACGAGGGTATCTCCTCTCTCTCCGACGGGCTCCCCACCCGCGACCGGTGCTCAGTAGCCTCATCGCTGAGCAGTCTGAGCAGCAGCAGTTCGTACCCTGAGGGCGGCCACACACAGCTCTCTTCACACCACCCACACTTTACCCACCACCAGCGGGCCACCACTAGTGAATCTGTCAGTTCCTACGACAGCTCGGGTATTGATGTCTCTTTTGGTAAGACCCAAGCTTTCCTAGTTTTTTTTCTAACTACTTTTTTCCTTGCATTCTACTTTTTTTAAACTAATTTTTCTCAAGACAACATGAGGGTTTGCTGAATAAGCAGTTGACACAGTTCCCTCTTCTTTACCTATTTCATCCCAAAACGTTCTCCACTCTTCCTCACAAGTGCAGAACAAAGGTTCACAGTGCAATATTTGTTTTTGGTTTTAAATTTAGCCCATATGACCTAATGAGAAGGAACTGACGAAAAATACTCTCTCTTGTACTAGGTTCAAAGATCTGCTTTGTAATCAGACTTATTTTATTTTGAACTTGTTATGTTTTGCATTGCCAGTTTGCTGCCTGCTTTTGAAACACCTAAAGTGATTGCAACTAACTCTGTCAGCATGTCCCTAATGAGATTATACTACACTGAAAATTTCCTCTACTTCATTCATATTTTTAGGGGTTCATAATATGGGAACCAGTTATTGGGGATACTTTCCTCCCATCGACCTTGTTGTTCAAAGCTAAACGTTCCTAGAATTTCAAGTGTCATTAATGTCTCTCTACACCGTCTGTGTTTCTAAACAATTCTCACCTTGTAAAAAGGAGGAGGTTCCTTTTGGATTCTGAGTTTTTTTAAATTTGTAAAATAATTTTGGGTTTTTGCCTCTCTAGTATTTATTGTCTTTTTTTTTTCTTGAAAATATCTAAGTTAAAAATGTGTTGCCCAGATCCTTTTAAGGCTGGCAGAGAGACAAGGTGAACTCCCCTGTAGTTATGCCCATAAATAAAAGTGTTCATCTATCCGAAAGTCCTTGTCTTCAGAACATTCACTCACTTGAAGTAAACACTTTGTTCATTTGTTTGCAAGAGAGATGTTTGTAAGAATTATGACTATTCCAGTATTTGTGATGGGTATACTATATTCTTTAAAATGCTTCGCATAAGTGGTAGCTATGGTTCTGGCTGTTCCACCAGTCATAGAATGGCTGGTTGGTAAGGTATTTATCACTTGTATCGAGCTGTCATTTGGTTCCAAATGCCCACGTTGTTTGAAGTGCTATACGGTTCTCTTGGTCTTTCTCTCTCTCCCCCCTGAACCCCCCACAGACCAGCAGAAGTTCCCTCCTGGCAAGGGCTACAATGAGTCTGGCTACCACAGCTTCGCTGAGGCCCAATTGGACCCCAACTCTCTGGAAGCCCGCAACAATGCCATCAACGACGACCGCAATGAGAGCAATGGGCCTAGCTCAAGCAATGACCGCTGGCTCATGTACAAGCGCGGCCACCCTCAGGAGGACGGCAGCATGGGCCCCCAGCCTCCACATGGCGCTGAGAATGGGTTACCTGCCCCGGGAGAAGGCAGTCAGGTATGGGCCTGTTTTGTGATAAGTTTTTTTGTGGGTTTTATTTTGGGGGGGGGGGGGGCCGCGGGGGGTGTTTTGTTATGATAGTGATAGTGATGCAGGCTTGCCAGCAATCCTAAATTTCCAGGATTTAGTAGTCCGGAATTTGAGAACTGTATCACTTTTAATTTTGTTTGTGGATACATAATCTGATAATAAAACATTGAGTGTCCCTAATTTGATTTTAAAGAAGTTGGCAAGCCTGTCGATGTTTGATTGGAGAAGTGAAAAGGGTGAGGCAGTGCTTGTGCTCTATCAGTGCTTTTCTTAACTTGTGACAGAATGATGAACCTTATTTGTGCAATATGTTCTCATGAAAGAAGGGGTAGAACATAAAGAGGTACATGCCAGTGTAAGTCTGTGCCCATGTGTGTGTGTGTGTGAAAGAGAGACAGAGGGAGTATTGAGGGGGTATAATTTGTACAAGATATTCCCCCTCCCAAAAAAACTATAAAACATTAAATTAATAATTGTTAATGAAATGTTATTTACTGTTACCACTTCTACTAGACTTTAACACAGAAGTCAAGATCAAAAAGGTCGCTATGAATCTGAGACCAATGTGACAAAAAGTTTAAGAAACACAGCTCTTTGAATAGTAGGCCCCAAATTCTGATATATCAAATTTGGAGACTCTGACTCAAGTATCAGCATGGAAACATTTTTTTACCTTAATTTCCTTATTGTGATGACTACAGATTCTTTTCAACATTTTCCCATACACTGAAGTCAGGTGGCGGTGGCCCAGTGGCTAGGCTACCAGACCTGTAATTGTGAGATATCAGATTTGGGGGGTTCGAGCCTGAGCTCCGTTCAACGTTGTGTCCTTGGGAAAGGCACTTCACACGAATTTCCCATTTGGCTCGGTCCTTTTGGAGATGGACATTAAACTCAGAGCTCTCGCCTCTAATAACCTAATAGTGTTGATAGAGGCGTTAAACCTATTATATTTCACCATTCTTTGAAGCCAGAATATTCCCCTTCCTTTCTTTCATGTGAGAAGTTGGTCCTTTTTTTCTTTCCCTGTTTCTGTCTGTCTGTCTTACTTTTTACTTGCTCTAAATGGCCACTATCGTGTCTATGTGCTTCTTTTTTGCCAACTAAACAACCAAACCCTTACTTTCTCTCTCCTCCCCCCCCCCATCCTTTTTATAACAGTTTAGTTACAGCTCTCGGCACTTACTTGACCTAATTGTCGTAAGTAGTGCCATAAAATCAATCTGAAAATCAACAAAAGAATCGAAGTAGCAGGCGTAAAGTGTCAGTATTCATTTTTCGTATTGCCTTAGTCGAGACAGGAATAACATTTGCCGCAAGATGAGTTTGCCGGTAGCGCCGCCATTTATCGTTCAAAGTGGGCACTTACTCGGTGCTGTCGAGAGTTTGTGTTCGATCCAATGGCGAATCAATGCTCGGCACAGACTTTCTTCTTTTGTTGGCTTGTTTATTTTCTTGATTTGTTTTATTTTGTTATTTCTCATTTCTTTCCTTGTTATTTCTCGACACATGTATGTGGATGGGCGTTTTGAAATATGTCCTGTTATGTGATTTTGTTCTTGTCAAATGTCACCTCTGTAGCATCTGTATTAATTGAGTGGTTTGTTTTTTCCTAGGTGGGGAAGGGGGGGGGGGGGCACCCTCTGGTGGTTTCTACTTTTTTCTTCTCTGTTGTGTGTATTTCTGTCATACTACGAGTTCTATAATCATTCACGCAACATTGAAGCAGCAAGTGTAAGACGGACGTGTTTGTGTGGCAAGTAATAG